CACTTCCCCCCCCAAACAAGCCAGGCAACCGGGCTCCCAGCCCCCCCCCGCCCTGATGCAGAGGATGACCATCGCACTATGTCACCTATAATAGGGAAACCACAAGTGTTGCTATGGGAACAGCGGGTGCGCGGTGTCACAATGCAGTGGTGACATCACTGTGGTGGCTGTTCCTGCCTGGTGACATCACCGTGAGGTGGGGATGAGGTCACGTGCCCTGGGGTGAGAGCTGGGGATGCCTACCTGAGTGAGGGACCCAGTGCGTGTTGATGTGGTGACAGCATCCATAGTAACCTCTCCCCGCTCGGAGGGGGCCGGGGGAGAGGGCCAGTAACCTCTCCCCGCTCGGAGGGGGCTGGGAGTGTGGGCCACCGACTCCCAGGTCCTGGTGGGTACCAGCACCCGTGAGCCCCCACTCGCCTCCCAGAGACCCCAGCGGTCCGGGCTCCCAGCCCCCACCCAGCCCTGACACAGCGGGTGACCATTCTGCTGTGTCACCCTAACTAGGAAAACCACAAGCGTTGTGACACGAACAGCGGGTGTGCAGTGACGGGTGCTGAAGGGAAGGGGAGGGGAGGGGAGGGGCGGGGAGGGCTGCCAGGTCCCTTGATGGGTAGGTGACTGTAGCTGCCCAATGACCCATGAGGGCGGTGATGAGCTCACACACCCCTGGGCAATAATGAGAGATTCTTCCCTGAGTGGGGAAGCCAGGGGAGGTCACCATGGCAACATGGCTGTTGCCAGGGTGGGTGGGTGTGATTCAGTGGTGATGTCATATAAGACATAGAGGGAACTGGGTGATGTCACCAATGCAACATGCTTTGGGGGTCGTGGTGATGTCACTGTGGAACTGGCTACAGGGGTGACTGGGGGGGTAGTTGCCAGGGTAATCGAGTGATGTCACTGTCAGAACAGGCTATGGAGGGGTAATAGGAGCGCTGTTGCCATGGTCACTGGAAGCAGGCGACCTCACGGAGGGGGATGACAGGACAAGTGTGTGGTTGTCAGGTGACTGGGCATTGTCACCAGGGCAACATGCTATGAGCGAAGGATGGAGCGGTGGCGGGGAGGGTTGTTCCCATGGTGACTGCTGTGTCCCCAT